GCTCTAGTTGTGAGGCTGAGATCTACGCCGGGGCTATGGCTGCACAGGAGTTACGCTGGCTCACCTACCTGCTGCTCGACCTTGGAGAGCCGCCTCGTTCTCCTCCAGTCCTGTACGTAGACAACAAGGCCATGCTGGCCTTGTGTCGAGAGCAGCGACTGGAGCACAGGACAAAGCATATTGCTCTCCGCTTCTTTCTTGCTCGTGAGCTACAGCAGCGTGGACAGTTGCGACTTGCGTACGTGGCCTCTGAGGCCAACACTGCTGATGTCTTCACCAAGGCACTTGCGCCTTGTGATTACAGCGTTGTTGCACGCAGCTGGGTCTTGTGCCTGTCTTGCCTCACTTGCTCACTTCTTGACCTTGCTTGTACCTTCACCTATATATACTCTTGTTCTTGCTTGCTTGACTCTTGTATATCTTTATATATGATCTTGTATGTGAACTGGCCTTGTGGCCCTTGAACTTGTGCTCGGAATGTGTGGTGACTTTGTGATCCACCCTGAGCTTTGCTTTGCTTTGCTTGACTGGTCTTGTGACCCCTTGTTCTCCCCCACTTTGCCTATGGGGGTGTCTCAGAACATTATAGCTTACTCTTTTCTGTAGGCTATAGTGGGGTATCCCATAGGGGGTACAACCCAATTAGGGTTTCATATTTGTACTCACTTCATTTCATAGTTAACCCATTCACGTTCAGTTTTCCTCAGAATGTAGGGAAGATTACTGTCTTGTTTCTATAACTTCCCTGTCTGAGGCGCGGAGGGGTGGAAAGTGCCCGCTACTGGCACTGTAGCCCCCTTCAAAGCGCAGGGTCGCTAGTAGTACCCTTGCCAAAGCTACTTACCCCACTCACTTTCATGCCACACAGTCGGCTTGCCCGTCAATGGTTTGATTGCAAGCGGGCAGGGCAACGGCGTTGACAGCATTCTGCCAGACCGTCTCGGGTCAATTGCGCCACTCAGCGATCTCAGGGGGTATCCAGCTCGTACATTTACTGTTCGTAAAGCCCTACAGTTACCACATTTTGCGTTGTAACACTGACTTTTACAAAAATTCCGGACGCGTGTGGCTCCCGTTCACGTTACGGCACACCCCCTGCACGTACCTCGAATCGTGTAACGCACGTAACTGGAATCAACGTGCGCATCGAACCTAGGTACAGCACCGCGTCCTGCCCTCTACAGTGCGTGCCCTTGGGATCGCCCTCATGATTTCGCCAGTCCCGCCTGACGCTCGCCAAAATAACCTGCGTATGGGAGGGGTGTAATGCCCTCCAACATTTTGTGAGTGCGTGACGGAAGTGCATGGGAGGGAATGAATGCCCTCCCCGAATTTCGCTTCTTTGATTGGTGCGTATGTGCGGGCTGGAATGCCCTCCTCCGATTTTGATTGTTTGATTGGTGCGTGTGGGAGGGCTGGAATGCCCTCCAGGTGGTTTTTTTGCATGCGGTTCGTTCTGCAGAGGAGCTGTTGACTTCGCGAACTTTGTGCGTATGGGAAGGCTGGAATGCCCTCCAGGTGTTTTTTGTGTGTGCGGTTCGTTCACCAGAGGAGGTGTTGACTAGGCGAAATTTGGTTGACGAGGGAACAGGTTACCTCAGTTTCCACCCAGCCGTGACACTGTTGAACTCTTTGTGGGGGGAATGTGTCCGCGCACTAGAATTGACAGAAAGGGTGGACTCGAAACAGGGCGCATTTGTTTTTAGGTACACTGATCAGTTTTGAACCACGGATCGTGAGGGGGTACTATATTTCCCGAAATGAACGAGCTAGATACCCCCTCAAGAAGCGAACATATTGCCGAAGGGACATAGCAACCAGAAGTTCTCCCGAGTACAATCTAGGAAAGCTGGCAAAATACAATCAAATTATATACACACGGGTGACGTCATCACATGCCGCCCCGCCTGCCCTGGCACAGATGGGATGCGAGGCAAAACGAAAAACCCGCGGAATCCCTCCGGGCCCCCGAAATTCCCCGGCTGACCAGGCAAAAAAAACCCGCAGAAACCCGCAGAATCAATGTCGTATTCTTATGCCAATATATATGTCGGCCGTACTGTTGCAACTTCGGGGACATTTGCCGAGCAGTGCTCGACGGACATTGGCCAATCGCCGTCGAGCACCGTGCACCCCCGACAACACTGGTTACACTCGGTGGCAAGTCGCCAGGGAATCGCCTACACGGTGGCGCCGACGGTCGACGGTTGCGAAACGTGTTTCGCAACCGGCCGACGGTCGCAATCGACGGAGACGTCAACAGCGGCCGACCTGTCGCCTCGTCGGTCGAGCGAACTGTCGCTGTCGGATGGGCGACGGGTCACGTCAGTCGCAGTCAAGCGGTCACGTCAACTGCTGTCTCAGTCTCCACGGGGAGCAACATCAGCCCAATGTCGCTGTATAGACCTGAATTCATAGTATAAGCACCACTGTTTCCTCAGCACGCCAGGATTTAGGGAGAACTGGTAGCTTTCGGTGGGCACTGATGGAGACCGATCCGTCGACGACAGCGCCTTCCCGGGAGGCGGACGTAGGACGTATACCTGTCGAATTGGAGTCCACATCGACACCACCCCCTTCGTCGTCTAGAGACAGGCCGCTTTCTTCCACGCCCCCTTCGACGACGCGTGCCATACCGGAGGTGGCAGCGCCCACCTCGACGTCGCGAGCCATACCGATAGTAATACAGCCGGTTGTTACGGACCAGCGTTCGACAGGTATTCCGGTCACTGTTGAAGTGGGTGGTGCACAGACCGAATTCCCTTCGACAGGTCAATCCATACCTGTTGTCGTAGAACCCATCTCGACAACAAATGCCCCCTTTACACACGAGGCTCCAGCTCACCGTGCACCATTGTTGACAGCCCACCGCTCGACGGAACCTTCGGCTGGTGCACCGACCTCGACAGGTGGGCGACGTAGGAGAGCGAGGGCTGTTCCGCCTGAGGTTCGCCAACCACCCCCAGCCCGCACATCCGCTTCTCGAGCCGCCCCCGCCGCTCCTAGGCGCACTTTGACGAGACCAAGCAGAGAGGACTTGGCCAGGAACGTCCCTGAAGCGACGGACGATGAGGATGTTCGGACGGGAGAACAGCAGGAGGCGGACGATGTCGAACCGGCGGACCCTCTGCGGCCTGCTGCGGCAAATATATCAGAGGAGGATGCAGCGCACATTCTCGGCGACCAACTGGGCGCAGACAATCCATACTTGGCGACCGGAACACTTAAAAGCAGGATTCTCCGGTGTGAGGTTCCGCTGCTGGGAGTTGACCAGGATTCCACACGGCCGAACTATGTCTCTGGAAGCATGCACTACAAAGCTTGGGCCTGTAAAATTCTGGCACCCGAGAGAAGCAACGGAGTGCCTAAAGAGGAGCAGGTGATCTACGAGGACGAGATCGGTAGGGAGATCGGCGACGATATGGGGCCAAGATGGAGGGAGGCGCTGCGTAACGAGGAGCACCTGCATGGGCCGAAAATACCGAAATGGCGCTTGCGCGCGTACGTCGAATACATGTCGACTGAAACCGACCAACAGGCGGCATCGTTGGACACAGGCCGGTCCAGAGTCGCTGGAAGGAAGGCGAAAAAAAGCACCCCTCCGATGATGCTGGCGCGCCTTACTGCGCTGACGTGCTTCTGCGGAGTAGAGGCCATACTCTTCGACGAGCCACTAACGAAACCTTTGGATGACATCACCGAGGCCCGGCAGCTTCTTGCGGTCAAGTTGCGGCAGCTGCACGACTTTCAGTTCGAGTAAGTAGGCTCCCATACACCGGACTCTAAAACTCACCGCTCAAATTCTCACCCAAGTACTCGCTGTATCTGCCCACCCAATGCACGCAGTGCGTCGATCCACACCGGGGCTCGCTCGACGATGTTTACACGGAGGAGCAGTTCCGCATTCTCGTTTCAGACATCCTGCCGTACTGGGCCAAGGAGTACTTTCGGGGGTCGATGAGTTACCCCAGTCAGTCGCTGTGGAGGGCCTTGGCCGTGAGGGTGATGATCCTGATGGCGCATCACATGCTGGGCAGGGGGATAAGCATCCGCGAGATCCGCTACTGCAATATGTTCACTCACGTCCTTCCGCCCATCACGAACAGCAAGGGGGAATCGTCGATCCACGTTCTCGTGGTCGCCTATCGCAACTCGAAGACCATCAAAGACAAGAAGCTCGGCCACCTGTACCTGACTCGACACATGGACTTCCGGCAGTGCGGCTTCGGAGCAATGTTCATGTGGATACATTTCATTTTCGACCTTGTGCCGCTCCACTACAACAACGATAAGATCGTGCCCCCCTTGGATTTCAGCAACCCGGAAAACTGGTCAAAGAAGCACCTGTTCTTCGCCCTCTTCGGCAAGGACAAGACCGAGTTGCCGTACGCGACTCATGCCAAATGGGTTACCTGGGCGATGAAAAGCGCGTAGTGGATCCTGTCGAAAGTCACACATATCTTTCGACGGTCTGCGGCACAGATCCTCGCCGACAAAAACTGTGAACTCGACAACATCGCGAAGCTGGGTCAATGGGACATGAACGAGATGCGCAGGTCATACGTCACAGGCATCCCGCGAGGGGCCATCCAGCTGCAAGCGGGTTTCACGACGGAACCCGGTGACTATTACCTTGGAAGATCGAAGACCGAAGTACCCGCGAAGGTCCTGAAGGCTATCGAGGAGCACATATTTCCAAAGGCGGAGCAGTGGCTCGACGAGGTATGGATGCGTCGAGCGCTTAGCGTGATCATCGAATGCAAGTTTTTGCATTCGATCTATCTCTCAATGTCACCAAGTTTGTTCTTGTTCAGGCGATGGAATGGAACAACGAGCAGGACAAGGAGCATATGTTCTTCGCAGCGAAAAGTTTCTTGAAGGCCCTGCAAGCCGCCCGAATGCCCATCGCCGAGGATCTTGCGATGTACTACGTCCATTGTGACGACCACCCCTTCGACGGAGTGACTGTTTGCGACTGCGAGCGTCACCCATATGCACAGATGTCCGGTTTGTGCAAGGATATGGATTTCCAAAAATGGGCGCTTGACGTGTACCTTCTCGACAAGTACGGCATCGAGATGCGGACCAACCCCACGCTGTCGAGAGCCTCGGTAAGATGGCCCTTATAAATTTTAATCCGAACAGATTGCATCAGCCCACTTACCTACCGCTCGTGATCTTATGCGCAGGACGCATCCTTTCAACTCAACACCAAGCACCTCATCACGCAACTTCGGGCAGAGGTAAACTTACACAAGGAGGAGGGTGGGAAAAAAGAAATCAAGATCAAGGGCCTCGAGCAGAAGGTCGAGTCATTGGAGCGAGAGAAGGCCGCGATGCAAGCGGAGTTGGAGGCGAAGGCAGAAGCACTCGCGCTACTGCAGAAAGCGTTCGACGCACTGAAGATTACTGCCGCGACAACCGCAGCTGCGAATGTAGGGGGGAGCGAGAGTGTGCCGCAGACGGCGACCGAAGAAACCACCCCGCCATCACAGCAGCCCCCTCAATCAACACCCACTCAACAGAGCAAGGGCAGCCAGCTCGACCAAACATTCTTCGACGCAGTGGTGTGGCCGTGGTGCACTTGCGAGACCGTGCGGCAGGCGTGGTCGTACTGGGACGAGCCCAGCCCGCTGAACAACGGACACAGTCTTCGACACGCTTACAAGAGGGGTTTCGCCGTCAAGTTCAGCAAGTTCACTCCGACTCCTCCCACCGTTCCCCCCGGTGCGGTGGACCAGCCAAAAGAAAAGCCACCGACCCCAAAAGCTGTCGAGTGGAGATTGCGGAAGATGGAGGTTGTCATGAGGGCCGTCGAGATGTTCAGGGTCGATGATAGCAGGGCGGCTACGTCGACGATCATTGATAAGCTTGACTCAATAGTCACGAACCACTCGATCAACATGCTGGCTGAAGGGCTCGTTCTCAAAGAGGATTCGGGGAAGCAGCTCACGAAGAAGCGCAAAATCGAGACAGCAGAAGACAACCGAAAGGACAAAGATCGCCTCAGGATCACGCGGGAGCTCATTCGCGTCGAGCTTCGAACCACGAAATGGGTCGAGAACGTGTTCAAAGACAAATGGAAAGAGTTCATGAAAACATGGGGCGAGAGCCCAAGTTCGACAGGCAATCATGACGAGGGGCGAAACTAGAGTAGGGTGTTCTTTTAGAGATTGCATGGCAGGTTCTCATTACTGACCGACCATCTCGCCTGTATGAACCTTTTGAGCATTATCGCAAACGGAAAGTCAAGATCCATGCAGCATGTAAATTCTGTCGATTAAACTTTGGAAACAACAAGCACAACTGTCGAGAATAGCAAACACCCCCACGCAAAGTGCCCGCCTAGACTACTCCCCTTGCCCGCCCGTTTCCGTCTCAGCTGCATCCTCGTCGCCCTGCTTCGCCTTGCTCTTTTCTTCTGGCATAGCCAGGCTGCCATAGCCCGCGTCCTCCAGCAAGCGGGCAACAGCTCGACATCAGCACCATTGCGTACAGACCTGTGCTGCCACGCGCAGCATCTGCAGCAGTATGGCGTCCGTCGAGCCGAGACCTTCGACAGCCGACGAATACAGGTGATCGGGCCACTGCTTCGCCGGGAACGTCTTGCCGACGTGCAAAAGTATGGACACGAGTGCGGACATGGCAGCCACACAAGCCTTCTTTGCAGTCTCCGGGGCGTAGATCGCCGCGTTTGCAGCAGCTAGGGCATCCTTCTTAATATCCTCCCTTGACAACTTCCTGCTGGCCGCCCACAAGCTCGCCACAGTTGCTGCGATGGCCATCATGTGCGGTGTCGCCGCCGTGCCCTTCGGGACCGGGTAAATCAGATTCCCGTGCTTCAGGCCAAGCGTCGCGACCTTACTAATCGCCACGCACAACGCAATTCCCCTCTCGGTTCCAGCTTTCACTTCCTTTTTTGCCGTCGCCAAGAGCGACAGGTAACTGCACATCGCAAGAAATGCGTGAGTCAAGAGGCCAGAATTCGACCGACAGCACATTCACCGCAAAACAGATGGTGTTCGACAATTCACCAAAACAGCAGGAACTCGACAGCAGAGTCTAGCAACATGACTTCGACAGAACTTACTCGTCGAAACGACATTCCCCTTGTTCTTGCGCCACGCTCCAAACGCCGGTTGGCATTTCTGCGGCCGCATCGAGGTAGACCTTCCAGTCCTCTTCATCCTGCGCCGTGTACCCTTCGTACTCCGAAAGGACAACGTCGGGGAAGTACACGCGCCAGCAGACGGCCGTACAGAACTTCTGGTCCTTCTCTGTTTCAAAAGTGCCAAGGAACCGCTTCCTCCCGCCGACGGTCTGCTCGGAAACCGGCTTCCCCTTCCGCAACCCAAAACCCGGTCCTTTGAACGGACGTTTGCAGCCTCTCGTCTTGCCTTGGTCGTCCGGTCGAGGAGGTGGGGTGTGACCCGTGACCCTGGCCTTCTTCGCCTTTTCCTGTCGAGCAGCAACGTCAATAGAGGTCTTCTCGACAGGCGCCTGACCAGGGACGCTGGCCAGCTCCACCACGTCAAGGCTCTCTGTCGCGTGTGCAGCGCGCTTCGACGACTTCGTCGCAGCCGGCTTCTTCTTCGACGTTGAAGGGGAGCCCGGATCGCTAAGACAAACGTTGCCTAGGGACGGAGTAGCGGCGACAGGCGCAACTGGAGGGGTCGAGGAAGACGCCCAATTTCCCACAAGCCTGACAGCAAGGCCAGCACCACCGCCTTGCGCAGCTGATGCCGCTTTAGTCTTCGACAGCAACCCAGCTCTTGCTTCTCCCGCTCCTTTCCCCGCACCGCCGCCTGACGGGGTAGAGGCACCTCGCATTCCTAGAGCTCTGTTCCCGGTCGAGGCGACGTGCTCGTTCGGGGCACCACTTTTCTCCCCCGCGACCACTCCTTTCCCACCCGTTTTCCCCATGCCTTGCAGCATGTCCCGCATCGAAGCAAACGCATCAGGTGGATCGATCGGAGCCGCTACGGAGGTCTTCGGGCGAGGCGACTGGTCGAGTACGATGACTTCCTTGACGGGCTTGGCGACGGGATGACGGCCACGCGCCGGTGGGGATCCAACCGGGCTGCCGACATGTCCTCCCACCGAAGAAGACGGAGGAACCGACCGCTCGTGACCACGAGGCTCAGCCCCGCTGCGAACCCCTCCCACACCCTCCTGACGCGACCTCGTCGACGGGCCCGCCGAGCGCTGAAAACCTCTCGCCATCGCTTCGGTGAGGACTTCCAACCTCCCTGCTTCGGCTTCATGGTAGCCTTCCCTCACAATGTCCTTCAGCTCCTTCATGGTCTCGGGTGGGAGGGTGGAGCAGAACATGTCCTCCATGATGGCTTTCTCGAAACCCTTCAGCACCGCAGCAACCAGCCGCTCCTCGACCTGCTTGAGCTGCTTCTCGACGGCGTCTTCGCTCGCTTTTGTGATGGCGGCTGCCACCCCCTCGATGATCTTCCCGCTCATCTCGTCGATCTTCGCCCGCGCCCCTTCCAACAGGCTCCTCTCCGCCGTGACACCCTTCACAGCCTCGGCGCACTACGACAGTGTGCTCTTCAACGACTCCGAAATCGTATTCCACGCCGTCCGAAAATCCGCAGCAAGCCTGTTGAATACTCCGGCTTGCTCAGTGTGTTTCGCAAAGACATCGGCGACGAGCTGCTTCTGCGACGCCTCGACCTTCTCGACCCTCTGCAGTAGCTCGACGACCTGGCCTCCCGGTGCAACATTCGCCGTCGATTGGCCTGCCGTCGAAGGCCACCAGGTCGAAGGGCCCGCCTGTCCGCTGCCACTGGCCGTGCGGTGACTCCTTGTTACGGCGGCCTGTTGCTCATCTCCTCGACGATACTCCTCAGCACCCTCCCAGTCCTCCTGCTCCTGCCCTCCCGACCCACCCACCCGCGCAGCCGCAACCCTAAACGCCTGCTGCTGCACTCCTGCCCCACCCTCCTACGCAGCCGCCACGCCCTCCTGCTGCTGCCCTCCTGCCCCGCCCTCCTGCGCAGCCGCCTCGCCCACCACCTGCCGCTGCCATCCGACCCCACCCTCCTGAGCAGCCGCTCCGCCCTCCTGCTCCTCGACAGCCTTAGTTTCCCCTGTCACCTGCTGCTCGATAAGCTCTACTCGCTCGTCCACCCGCTCCCCGAGCGCCACTCCGTGCTCCCCCGTACGCTCCGTTCTATGTCCGGCGCCCTCGCCGTCGTCCTCGGCCGACTCATCGCTCGAGCTCGAGCCGGAGCTCGTTCCCGAGCTCGAGTCCTCGTCCTGGTTCGCATCGCCGCCCGGGTCGCTCGCCCCGTGCTGAGCCTGCCTCGATGTATCCTCCTCGATCTCCTCCTCCTCCTCGACGCTGTACTCAATCACGACGCGTCCCGTCTTCTCGCCTCCTCCCTCGTGGTCGGCACCCCCTCCCACACCTGCTCCCTCCGCCAGCTGGTCGATCTTTCTCGAAAACAGCTTGACCATGAACAACGGAAGCACACCCGGGCCAGGGTTCGTTCTCCCTAGATGCATGAGTTCGCCCTTTCGAGGCTGTAGGATGAAGTCGTCCCATTTCGTCAGAATACGGCGCACCCCATGCACGACACGAGCTGCCGCGCCGTTTTCATAGGGGCTCGACAAGGCCGTCGTCGCCTACGACGGGTACAAAACATACGTAAGCGACAAAACACATGCTCGACGAAAACGCTGGTGGTCTAAGGAGAGCTTACCAGATGGTCGAAATCCTCGTTCAACTCCAGACGAAGGTCCATCACGTTCAACACTTCTTGGTCGCCCTCGGTCAGAGCCTGGTGGGTCATCGCGTACTCGGCGCGAAGCTGCTTCTTCATCCACCTGCGATGCAGCGGACAGAAGAGTAAGATTGTCGAGAACAGCAGCTCTTCAGCAGGGTGGCAAAGCTGTCACTCACACGAAAACTTCTTGCGCCAAAGAAGATTGGTGGTTCATCTCGGGAAACTTGTCTTTCGAATCGAAGTGCATCATTCGAGTTCGACTGCCACGGTGCCTCGGAGCCAGCAGATCGTCGGGGCGCGATACCACAAACAGGCTCGAGTGGGAGAACGGAGGCACACTCAGTCTGCATGCAAAGCCAATGCACGTGAGAACGGGTTCAGGGCTAAAGACGGAGCACGCAAGGCGACGGGAGAGTAGGCGACGGTAGAGTGTCGAACTCACGGTGTCCGCAGCAGAACGAAAACCACTTGCTTGCCGAGGAGGCCGTCGAGGTGGTTGTTCGCAAAAGCGACCGGGGTGGGACGTGCCATCTCTTCACGCGCACGCGCCGGAGTCACGATCGACACCTTGGGAAGCTCCTCGGCGGACAGCAGCTCATGACAGAACAGGCTGCACGGAAAGCTAAGGCAACGTCAGCGATTGGTAAACCCAAACATGGCAAACCGAAAATGTTCGACAGGACACGTACACGATGTCCGCGACCATCATGCTCTCGTCGAGCTCCCCTTTCGGCGCCTCTCTAATCGCATTCAGCTGGTCCTCGTACACCTCCACCTCGACCCCGCCTGCACTAAGGATGAGGCCGCGTCGAACCGTCGCCTCGTTCATGACGGGTACGGAGGCGGAGCTCGTAGCCATGTCAGGCCTAGCAGTGGAGAGGGCGGGCGTGCAGGGGAGTCGGGAACTAGCAGGGACTAGGAAGTAGGGAAGTAGAAATCGGAAACACCAACAAAATGAGACCGGACGAAGGGTATTAGCTGTTTGCCATCCCTCCCACCGCGACGGACCAGGGGGGTTCAAGGGCGAGGAGGCAGGGCGCGTTCCGAGACGCTGGAGGAGGAGGGAGGAGCTCTTCGCGGAGGCCGGCGGGGCCCTATTAGCGTCGACGTGAAACGTGGTTGTTGGTTGCATGGGGTGGGCCGCCTTGCGTGCAGCCGAAAGGCCCCTTCCAAGGTTCGGGAGGGGGCCTTCGACACGTCACCAAGATCGTGCGGGTTGAACGAAACGGGCCCGTCTAGGGCGAGAGCGGTGGAGCGCGGCGCAAATGGGCGTCGATTTCGTCCGGCCTGCGAAATTTCGCCGACTGGTTCCGTCGGCGATGCGTCGCTCGGCGAGGGATGGGCGGGTTACCGGACGGAACCCGTCCACGAACCGAGCGAGGGGTTGGGCTCGGTGGGGAGGGGGACCACTGCGCGGGCTGCTGGCGTCATCGGCAGCTGGCGCCAGCTGGGGGTGCCCGTTTTCGGGTGGGAGGGGGGGGGGTGGCTCCCGCCCCTCGCGTGCTTCGCTAGGCGACGGCGGGAAAACGAAAATCCCTCCGAGGAAAACCCGCAGGGGCGAGCGGGTTTCCGCAGAGGGATTCGGGCGACGTCTTCCCCCTAAATGATGTAGTGCTGAAAATTCAGTATGTTTGGAACATTACCTTTCTCAGTGGCAGATCCATGCAATCATTCGATGGTCAACTGGTCTAAAGCAACCGCGCTAATGTGATTAGGTTCTAGAACAGCTAGTATCCAAAACAGTAAAACTCAAATTATCTTCAAATAATATTTCCTCTACCAAATTGTCTTTACTTTACGTTCTTGGGTACCTACCCTCATCCAATCTTCGAGGTTACCTTACCTCATCGAGGATGTTCAACTATCTATGACAAACTTCACATAGGGAGCTGCATCAGAAACGGCGGGGCACGACCATCGTATCCAAACGCATTTCAGAGGGCGTCACGAGCGCCAAGAGAGAAACAAAAGTCGGTGCGCCCATTGGGCCTTGCTCTGATATCATGATAGACATAGGAGATTAGACTAGGAAGATCGCTAGAGTATGGAAAAAGTTACGAGAATGTCTGCAGAAAAGGGGGGGATACACATAAAGGAGCAGTACAAATACAAGTGCACAACCAAACATATTAGTAATTACCCAAAAACTAAAACTACATGAAGTTATAGTAATATAGATTCATGAGCACATCCCCACGTTATTGTTCAAGAGTATTTTACCCTAAACAATCCCCCAACCCAATCCCAACTTTATCTCCATCCAATCCCTTAGGGATTTCCCTGATTTTCTTGTGCCACGTGGCACTCTAGCTTTCTTGCATTCTACTTCATAGTCCCACGAACTACTTTCCGACATTCGCACTTGCATGCTATATCAATCTTACTTGTACTTTCCATTATCAACCAATTCTCATTCAAATCTCCAAATACTCAGTAACTTCTTCGCATATTTCGCCAATAGTTTTTTCGCCAAAGTCTTCCGCCGCGTTCTATCCTCGACGTAGTCGACACAGCTAATCTTTAGCGGACTAAGGCCAGGGGCCTAACACTTCGTATCAGGAGCCTTCGAGGGGAGCGTCTTCCAATGAGCGGCCGTCGACGACAAGACTATGTCAAATTATAATGTTGTGTAGGCTCTAGTGGGGTAGCCTATATGGGGTACACAATTCTAGGGTTGCATAATTGTATCACTTTCATTCCTTAGTCATCCATTCTCGTTTCTTCTCATGGTATCGAGCAGGTTCCCTCGTGGGAACTGATCCTAGGGCCCACCATCGATTTTTTTTTTCTTGCCCGAAGCGCGCTCAGCTTAGGCCCGAGTCGCGCCTCGGGTCCTCTCTCTACTGTCGCGGCCTCCCTCGAGCCGCCCTTGCTCGGCCGTCGCCGCCCTTAGCGGCCCGTCGCCACCCTACGCGGCCCGCCCGCCGCCCTTTAGACGCCCGTCCCGGCCACGTGCGCCGCTCGTCCCGTGCGCCGCCCGTCCTGTGCGCCGCCCGTCCCGTGCGCCGCCCGTCCTGTGCGCCGCCCGTCGACGCCCGTCCCGGCCCCGTGCGCCGCCCGTCCCGTGCGACGCGGCCCGTGCGCCGCTCGTCCCGGCCCCTCACCCCCTGTCCTGGCCCGCCGCCGCCCGACGCGGCCCGTGCGCCGCCTGTCCCGGCCCGTCGCTGCCCGACGCGGCCCGTGCGCCGCCTGTCCCGGCCCGTCGCCGCCCGACGCGGACCGTGCGCCGCCTGTCCCAGCCAGCCGCCGCCCGGCCCGTCGCCGCCTGTACCGGCCCGTCGCCGCCCTTTGTGGCGTCACGTGCCGCCCTACCCTACCTGCAGCCCCGCCGCCCTAACTTAGCGGCCCCGCCGCCTTATTCAGCGGCCCCGCCGCCTCGCTCTCGGCCCCGTCATCTGCTGCAGCCCCGCCGCGCCACCGTAGCCGCCCGAGCCGTCTCACCCGGCCGAGCTGCCGAACACAGCGCCGCCCTACAGCAGCACAACCGAGCCGCCCGGCAGCAGAGCAGCCGAGCCGCCCAGCAGCCGAGGCGCCCAGCAGCCGAGCCGCCCAGCAGCCGAGCCGCCCAGCAGCAGCGCCGCCCAGCAGCCGTGCGGCCCAGCAGCCGAGCCGCCCAGCAGCAGAGCCGCCGAGCCGCCCAGCAGCCGAGCCGCCGAGCCGCCCAGCCGCCCTACTTCCTGGCCGCCCGACCTGCCCAGTCTGGTGAGCACAGCTCCTTGTCACTAGACTGCCCTCACCCTACTGTTTGCACTGCTAGTCGTCTAGGGTCATGGCTACCCCTAGTGTCCTCGCCTTTGACGCTGAGGGTCGGGCCATTGACTTTGAGGTCTGGGTAGATGACCTGCAGCTGTTCTTACAGTGCGATAGGGCAGACGACCTCTCTCTCTTTGACCTCACATCTTGCGCTTCCCCTGCCCCTACTGCTGATGCTGACGCCACTGTTCGCTCCCAGTGGGCCACGCGCGACGCTGCTGCACGTCTTGCTCTGCGTCGCCACCTCCCTACCTCCGAGCGTGCGCACTTTAGTCAGTACAAGAGTGCTCAGACCTTGTACGACGCTGTAGTCGCGCGCTACTCCTCCCCTGCCACTGCTGCACTGAGCCGTCTCATGCTACCGTACCTCTTTCCTGACCTTGCTGCCTTTCCCACAGTCGCTGACCTCATTACGCACCTCCGCACTAGTGACACTCGCTACCGCGCTGCGCTTCCTCCTGACTTCTGCGCCAAGAACCCCCCCCCCATGTACATCACTCTCTACTACATAGTCACTCGTCTCCCTGACTCCCTTCGTGTAGTCAAGAACCACTTCCTCTCAGTCTGTCCCACCACTCTCACTGTAGACCTAATCGAGAAGTCCCTCCTAGCCGCCGAGAAGAGCATAGTCGCTGTAGGGGCCTCTCGTGGTGACCCGCGCACCCCCATCTTTGAGGGGTGTTCCCCCTCCCCCCTTCTGCCCTCTGTTGCCTCTGCTGCTGCGGCCGACCTCCTTGGTCTTGAGTCGGTCGGTGCGGCGTCTGCCCCTAGCGGGAGACGCCGCTCTGGCAAGGGCAAGGGGGGCAAGGGCGCTGGAGGAGCGAGCGGGGGCGGTGGAGGTGGAGGTGGCGGCAGTGGGGGGAGTGGGGGTGGCGATGGGAGTGGAGGTGGGGGTGGAGGGGTCGGTGGCGGCAGTGGAGGCGGAGGTGGCGGCGGCGGTGGCGGTGGGAGCGGAGATGGCGGAGGTGGTGGCGGTGGAGGCGGAGGCGGAGGTGGCGGCAGTAGCGGAGGCGGCGGAGGCGGCGGAGGCGGCGGAGGCGGCGGGGGTGGGGGTGGTGCTGGTCGCGGGTCTTCGCAGAGGAGTGGCTCCGGTGGTGGCTCGCGCCAGCAGCAGCAGCGCGGTCGTGAGACCCTGTCCCCTCAGCAGCTTTGTGAGTGGTACACTGCGCGCCAGCGGGGTGGGGGTTTTGGTCCGTGCTCCTACGTTTTGCGCACCGGCGACCGTGCGGGTGAGCAGTGTGGGGGTGCACACCCCACCAAGCGCTGCTTTGGCCGCCTTACGGACGCGTGGCGTCACCAGTTCCCGGAGGCCTCAGAGATCCCTCGCTGGGGCGAGCTGTCTAGGGCGGGTGTTGCCATCTATGATCTTGACTTTGATGCAATTCTCTCTGCCATGTATGCTGTGTCTATTAGTGATGAGGGTGACTATTACCGGTGTTTCCCGCCCGATCCGGGCATTGGGACTTCTGCTCTAGGTACTGGTGAGGCTGCTGGCCTAGGTGCTTGCGACGCTGCTGCTCTAGGTACTGGTGAGTCTGCGCTCTCAGGTACTATGTCGGCTTCGGCCTCCCTCACCTTCACCCTTGACTCTGGGGCGTCTCGCTCCTTCTTTCGGGACCGCACCACACTCACACCGCTGAGTCGGGCGGTTGCAATGTCTCTGGCTGACCCCTCTGGGGGTCCTGTCCTGTCTCGCTTCTCCACAGTCCTCCCGTGTCTGGCGGCTCCCTCTGGCACCCTGTCAGGTCTCTACCTCCCCTCGTTCTCTACGAACCTGGTGAGTGGTGCTGACCTACAGGATGCGGGTGTACACCAGTTCACTCCTGCGCATCAGCGGGTGATGCACTGTACAGAGGCTAGCACAGGCCGGCACCTGGCTACGTTTACCCGTCAGCCAGGGTCGAGCCTGTACACACTGACCACTGCGTCTCCTCCCGTTACTGAGTCTGGTAGGGTCGCTTCGTCGAGTCAGGTGTTTGCTGCAGCGTCCAGGTCTGATCCTGAGTCTACCCCCTGTTCGTGTCGTCTCCTGTCTCACGAGACTCTCCTCTGGCACCACCGTCTTGGCCACCCCTCTCTTCTTCGGCTCAGAGGCATGGCCTCCCATCTTCTAGGGTCTGGTCTCCCCCGGTCCCTCACTCCCCTTCCTCAGGGCCCTGGCCCTACCTGTCTTCCCTGTGTCGAGGGGCGCCAACGTGCTGCCCCTCACTCCTCCCAGTTTCCTCCGACAGAGGCCCCGTTGCAGACGCTTCACATGGACGTGTGGGGCCCAGCCCGCGTCCGTGGGCAGGGTCATGAGCGCTACTTCCTGCTCGTTGTTGACGACTACTCGCGTTACACCGCAGTCTTCCCCTTGCGCAGCAAGGGTGATGTCACTGAGGTGCTGATCGGCTGGATCCACGCAGCTCCTCTCCAACTCAGGCAGAGCTTTGGCTCGGACTTTCCTGTTCTGCGTCTGCACTCGGACAGAGGCGACGAGTTCTCCTCTGGCCTTCTGCGAGCCTACTGTTGTGCACGAATCATCCGTAAGACCTTCACGCTTCCGGACTCTCCGCAACGAAATGGGATTGCTGAGCGCCGCATTGGCATGGTCATGGACGTCGCTCGTACGTCTATGATGCATGCGGCTGCCCCCCATTTTCTGTGGCCGTTTGCGGTCAGGTACGCGGCGCATCAGATCAACCTTCACCCCAGGGTCTTCAGGCCGGAGACCTCCCCAGCCTTGCTGTGGACGGGGAAGGTTGGCGATGCGTCGGCGTTCCGGGTCTGGGGATCTCGGGCGTTTGTCCGCGACTTGTCTGCGGACAAGCAGTCCCCTCGTGCTGCTCCTTGCGTCTTCCTGGGGTTCCCCCCTGACGCACCTGGGTGGCAGTTCTACCACCCCACCTCTCGCCGTGTTCTGTCCTCCCAGGACGTCATGTTCGACGAGTTGGTCCCCTACTACCGCCTCTTCCCCTACCGCACTCCGTCCCTCCCCCCGCCCCCGCTCTTCCTTGTACCAGGTCCCCCCCCGGTAGATCCCCTCCCCCCTCAGGGTCCTGCCCCTTCAGGTGTGTCCCAGGTAGACGCAGTCGAGCCTGTCGAGGTCACTGGTGACTCTAGTGCTGCTGAGGGTGCTGAGCCTTGGGGTGCTGAGACTGGTGGTGCTGAGCCTAGGGGTGTTGGGCCTGGGGGTGCTGAGCCTGGGGGTGCTGAGCCTGGGGGTGCTGGGACTGGGGGTGCTACGCCTGGGGGTGCTTTGCCTGGGGGTGCTGAGCCTGGAGGTGCTTCGCCTGGAGGTTCTCCGGGTGCTTCGTCTCGCCGGGAGCCACTCTCTCCACAGGAGCTGCGCGAGTGGTTTGCTCGGCGCTGGAGCCGTGCTGCTGGTGCTGGAGGTTCTTCGGCTGCTGAGGGTGCTGCTGTCGCGGGTCCCGGAGGTGCTCGTACTGGGAGTACTGGAGCTGCTGGGCCTGCAGGTTCGACTGGAGCTGGTGCTGCTGAGGGTGTTGGCGCTGAGACTACCACTGGCAGTCCTGCTGGGGGTGCTCCTGGTTTTGCTGGAGGTTCTGGAGCTACTGGAGGTGCTGCTGGAGCGGGTGCTCCTCCTGGGGGTACTGGTGCTGTCCCTGCTATTTCTGGCGTCGCTTCGCGGCCTCGACCGTACTTCGTTCCACTCCTGCAGCAGGTTCTTGGTCTTCCACCTTCTTCTGGTCCTCCTCCTCCCTTGGAGGGTCCACAGCCTGTCCCGTCACAGTCACAGCTACAGCCTACCTCCCCTTTTCCTGCTCCTTCTCCCTACGCTGGTCCTACTGGAGGTCTTGCTGAGCGTTGTGAGCCTGCGTCTCGCCCTGCGTCGCCTTTCCGTGCTGCTCGCGCTAGTGGTCGTGGTTCGCGTCCGCGTCCTCCTTCTATCCCTGGCACACACAAGATGTCTCTGCGTCCGTCTACTGCTCCTCTGCGTGCCCCTTTGCCTTCTCCTCCTTAGTCCTCTCTTCCTGCTCTTGCCGACCCGGAGTTGGACTCTCTTCGTGCTGCCAGTCCTACTGTCACGCGTCTCCTTGCTACTGTCGTCACTGACCCTTCTTTCGAGTCTACTGCTGCGTTTGCCCTTGTAGCTTAGCTCGTCGACTTTGCTGCTCGCTGTCGCCTAGACTACGCTGCTAGTCTTGTCGCTGAGTCTGAGTGTGTCTGTCCTCCGTCCGTCGGGGGTGAGAGTGCCCTTGGCACGGACGTCCTTGAGGACAGGCAGGAGGAGTTCCAGTGTCTGGCAGCTGCTTCACCTCATCTCCTGTCCGTACTGCTTACCCCTGAGGGAGACCCGGATGCACTTGACATCCCGACTCCGCGCTCTTACGCGGAGGCGATAGAGGGTCCCTACTCCTCTCAGTGGAAGGCAGCTATGGATGCAGAGATGGCTTCCTGGAAGTCCACAGGCACCTACGTTGACGCTGTCCCCCCTCCTGGGGCGAACATCGTCAGTGGCATGTGGATCTTCAGGGTGAAGCGGCCGCCGGGTTCTCCGCCTGTCTTCAAGGCGCGTTACGTGGCTCGTGGCTTCAGTCAGCGGCAGGGAGTTGACTACTTTCAGACCTTCTCCCCCACCCCGAATATGACCACTCTTCGGGTACTGCTACACGTTGCTGCTCACCGTGACTACGAGCTTCACTCTCTCGACTTTAGCACTGCTTTCTTGCAGGGCAGCCTTCACGAGGAGATCTGGCTGCGCTGCCCACATGGCTTCACTGGGTCTTTCCCTCCTGGTACCCAGTGGAATCTCCGGCGTCCAGTCTACGGTCTCCGCCAGGCGCCACGTGAGTGGCACGACACACTGATGACTACACTTGCGGCTCTTGGGTTTGCTCCTTCTACTGCCGACCCGTCGCTGTTTCTGCGCACCGACACCTCTCTGCCGCCGTTCTACATCCTCGTGTACGTCGACGACTTGGTCTTTGCCACAGCTGACACTGCTGGACTCGCCTACGTGAAGTCCGAGCTGCAGAAGAGACACACGTGCACTGACTTGGGTGAACTGCGCAGCTACCTCGGCTTGCAGATCACCCGGGACGGAGCACGCCGCACCATAACCTTGACTCAGTCACACATGGTGCAGCAGGTCCTTCAGCGCTTCGGCTTCACGTACTCCTCGCCTCAGGCCACTCCTCTGGCTACTCGCCACTCACTCTCAGCTCTGCCTTCGGATGAGTCCATAGAGTCGAGTGGCCCGTATCCAGAGCTTGTTGGCTGCCTCATGTACCTGATGACCTGCACACGACCTGACCTTGCATACCCTCTTAGCATTCTTGCACGCTATGTTGCTCCTGGGAGACACCGACCAGAGCACATGGCTGCAGCGAAGAGGGTGTTGCGCTACTTGTGCAGTACGTCGGGCATGGGGCTAGTGCTTGGAGGGCGGAGTCCAGTGGTCCTCACTGGGCACGTGGACGCTTCTTGGGCTGACGACCAGGCTACACAGCGGACGTCACAGGGTTACACCTTCAGCCTCAGTTCCGGCTCTGTTTCGTGGCGGGCTACTCGCTCGTCTTCTGTCCTTGGCTCCAGTTGTGAGGCTGAGATCTACGCCGGGGCCATGGCTGCCCAGGAGCTTCGCTGGCTCACCTACCTGCTGACCGAGCTTGGAGAGCCGCCTCGTTCTCCTCTAGTCCTGTACGTAGACAACAAGGCCATGCTGGCCTTGTGTTGAGAGCAGAGACTGGAGCACAGAACAAAGCACATTGCTCATCGCTACTTCCTTGCTCGTGAGCTACAGCAGCGTGGTCAGTTGCGGCTTGCGTACGTGGCCTCTGAGGCCAACACTGCTGATGTCTTCACCAAGGCACTTGCGCCTTGTGATCATCAGCGCTTCTGCACGCAGCTGGGTCTTGTGTCTGTTCTGCCTCACTTGCTTACCTCTTGACCTTGCTTGTACCGTTGCATATATATATATTCTCTTGCTCTTGCTTGTCTAGCCTTATATATATATGTGATCCTGCATGTGAACTGGCCTTGTGGCCTTGAACTTGTGCTCGGAATATGTGGTGACTTTGTGATCCACCCTGAGCTTGCTTTGCTTGACTGGTCTTGTGACCCCTTGTTCTCCCCCACTTTGCCTATGGGGGTGTGTCAAATTATAATGTTGTGTAGGCTCTAGTGGGGTAGCCTATATGGGGTACACAATTCTAGGGTTGCATACTTGTATCACTTTCATTCTTTAGTCATCCATTCTCGTTTCTTCTCAGACTACGATGCCATCGTCCCGCGATGCCGACTTGCAGACTTGGGGTCCTCGAGCCGACATGGATGAAACCATGAACAATGTCCCCAACGACATGGGCAACACGCTTGCTCAACACATGCGCCAACTCAAAACGTTGACGCTGGAAAATCGTCAGGTACTTGCTGAAATGCAACAGCTTCGTGAAGTTGCGTCAATTTGTCATATTCATGCCGCACCATCTCCTGCACCCAACACGTTGACTGGCGCGGAAGCGCTGTCGGAACATCGAAACGCGCTCAAGACACAGAAGCCCGAGCCGTTCGATCCAAATCAAGACGACGCGAACGTGCGGACGTGGATCTTCATGCTGAACAACTACTTCGCCGCGAGCGGGGCGCAAGAGGCGGACGCGCAGCAGCGGGTCGAGTACTCTGTTACGCTGCTGAGGGGCCCGGCCTTGGAGTGGTGGCGCCGACTCATGCCCCAACCCATGGAGGGCTCAGTTAGACGGGCATCAACAGGGCGAGGGGCATGCAGCTGCAACTTCGAGCTTAGGGAGTTTAGCTTTGGGTGTTACCATGGTTCCGACCATATAGGAAAGATTTGAAGCGGCGCTGAAAAGTAGGTTTGATTTGGTAAATGCCTCCGAAGCTGCTAGGAAGCGTCTGCGTCATTTTTGACAGATAGGAAATGTCAAGGAGTACACACGACGGTTCTTGAGCATCTACAACGAAATAGATGACATCACGGACGCAGAGACGTGTGGAAGAATGAGGAAAGACTGACTAAGGAATGAGTGTAATACAAATATGAAATCCTAGAATTGTGTACCCCTTAGTATCTAACCCGCTACAGCCTACACAGGCTAGATCATATAAGTCTCACACACCCCCATAGGCAAAGTGGGGGAGAACAAGGGGTCACAAGACCAGTCAAGCAAAGCAAGGCAAAGCAAGCTCAGGGTGGATCACAACGTCACCACACATTCCGAGCACAAGTTCAAGACCACGAGGCCAGTTCACATGCAAGATCATATATAAAGGTAAACAAAGAAGGGAAGGTATAGATAGATCACAGTACAAGCAAGGTCAAGAAGTTAGCAAGTGAGGCCAAGTAGACACAAGCCCTAGCATCGTACAAAAGCGCTGATGATCACAAGGCTAAAGTGCCTGGGTAAAGATATCAGCAGTGTTGGCCTAAGAGGCCACGTAAGTAAGGCGCAGATGACCACGCTGCTGCAGCTCACAAGCAAGGAAGTAGCGAAGAGCAATGTGCTTCGTTCTGTGCTCCAGTCTGTGCTCCCGACACAAGGCCAGCATGGCCTTGTTGTCTACGTACAGAACTGGAGGAGAACGAGGCGGCTCTCCTAGGTCAGTCAGTAGGTAGGTGAGCCAGCGTAGCTCCTGTGCAGCCTTGGCCCCCGCGTAGATCTCAGCCTCACAGCTGAAACCGAGAACAGAAGACGAGCGGGTAGACCGCCACGAAACAGAGCCGGAACCAAGCCTGAAGGTGTAACCCTGTGACGACCGCTGCGTAGCCTGGTCGTCAGCCCAAGAAGCGTCTGCGTGACCTGTGAGGACCACTGAACGCCGCCCTCCAAGCACTAGCCCCATGCCCGAGGTACTGCACAAGTAGCGCAACACCCTCTTCGCTGCAGCCATGTGCTCTGGTCGGTGTCTCCCAGGAGCAACATAGCGTGCCAAGATGCTAAGAGGGTATGCAAGGTCAGGTCGAGTGCAGGTCATCAGGTACATGAGGCAGCCAACAAGCTCTGGGTACGGGCCACTCGGCTCTACGGACTCATCCGAAGGCAGAGCTGAGAGCGAGTGGCGAGTAGACAGAGGAGTGGCCAGAGGCAAGGAGTACGTGAAGTCAAAGCGCTGAAGGACCTGCTGCACCATGTGTGACTGAGTCAGGGTAATTATGCGCTGTGCTCTGTCCCGGGTGATCTGCAAGCCAAGGTAGCTGCGCAGTTCACCCAGGTCTGTGCACGTGGGCGAGTCCAGCCATGTCAGCAGTGGCAAAGACCAAGTCGTCGACGTACACGAGGATGTAGAATGGTGGCAAAGAGGTGTCGGTGCGCAGAAACAGCGACGGGTCGGCAGTAAAAGGAGCAAAACCAAGAGCCGCAATTGTAGTCCTCAGTGTGTCGTGCCACTCACGGGGCGCCTGGCGGAGACCGTAGACTGGCCGCCGGAGGCTCCACTGGGTACCAGGAGGAAACAACAAAGTGAAGCCAGGTGTGCGACGCAGCCAGATCTCCTCGTGAAGGCTGCCCTGCAAGAAAGCTGTGCTGAAGTCAAGAGAGTGAAGCTCGTAGTCGCACTGAGCAACTATGTGCAGCAGCACCCGAAGAGTGGTCAACTTCGGGGTGGGAGAGAAGGTCTGAAAGAAATCAACTCCTTGCCACTGACTGAAGCTTCGAGCCACGTAACGCGCCTTGAAGACAGGCGGAGAACTCGGCGTCCGCTTCACCCTGAAAATCCAGATGCCACTGATAATGATCGCCCCAGGTGGGGGAACCTCGTCGACGTAGGTGCCTGTGGACTTCCAGGAAGCCATCTCTGCATCCATGGCTGACTGCCACTGTGAGGAGTAGTAACCATCGATCATCTCAACGTACGATCGAGGAGTCGGGATGTGGTGCATCCGGGTCTCCCTCAGGGGCAATCAGCGTGGACACGAGATGAGGCAAAGCAGGAGCAAAACACTGGAACTCCTCCTGCCTGTCCTCAAGGACGTCCGTGCTAAGAGCATACTCACCCCCAACGGACGGAGGACAGAGAGACTCAGACCCAGCAACGAGACTAGTGGCGTAGTCTAGACGACAGCTAGTAGCAAAGTCGACAAGCTCAGCAACTAGGGCAGACGCAGCGGTGGACGCAAAGGAAGGGTCAGTGACAACAGTAGCCAGAAGACGCGTGACAGTAGGACTGGCAGCACGAAGAGAGTCAGACTTCCGGTCAGCAAGAGCAGGAAGAGAGGACTCTGGAGGAGATGGCAACGGGACACGCAGTGGAGCAGTGGAAGGACGCAGTGCCATCTGGTGTGTGCCTGGGACCGCAGGAGGACGCGGACGGGGAACATGACTACTAGTGCGAGCCGCACGAACAGGTGACACAAGACGAGACGCATGTGCACGATGCTTAGCAAGACCTCCAGTAGGACCGGTGTAGGGAGAGGGAGCAGGCATGGGGGAGGCGGGCTGTAACTGCGACTCAGACTGGACAGGTGGCGAGGTGGCGGACACTCTAAGGAAGGAGCAGGACCAGCAGAAGGCGGGAGACGAAGAACCTGCTCAAGGAGCGGAACGAAGTACGGTCGTGGCCGCGCAGCGCCTCCAGAGCCAGCAGGGATAGCACCAGCACCCCCAGTGGTAGCACCAGCACCAGTAGTACCCCCAGCTGCAGCACAACCAACTCTAGCAACCTCAGAAGTACCAGCGCCAGCAGCAGCTCCAGCTCCAGCCGGACCACCGGAAGACTCGACAGCCAGACCACCGGAAGACTCGACAGCCACAGCTCCAGCACCTCCACCAGCACCTGCTCTAGAAGCTCCACCTACAGCTCCAGCACCACCAGCAGCTCCAGCACAAGGAGCACCCCTAGGCCCAGCAGCTCCAGTACGTCCAGTACGAGCACCTCCAGAACCCTTGGCACCAACACCCTCAGTAGCAGCAGAACCGCCAGCGCCAGCAGCACCTCCAGCTCCAGCACTACGGCTCCAGCGCCGAGCAAACCACTCGCGCAGCTCCAGAGGAGAGGGGAGCTCCCGCTGGGACGAAGCACCCGAGGGACCCTCACAACTAGCACCGCCAGACTCCACACGAGTAAACCCAGCACCCTCACGCTCCACACCCCCAGGCCCAGCACCCCCAAGCTCAGCACCCCCAGACTCAGCACCCCCAGGCTCAGCACCCCCAGACTCTGAACCCCCAGGCTCAGCATCCCCAGGCCCCGCACCCGCAGGCTCAGCACCCCGAGTAACACCAGAGTCAACAGCTACCTCGACAAGCTCGATTGCGTCAGCCTGGGACACACCTGAGGGGGCAGGACCCTGAGGGGGAAGGGGGTCTACCGGGGGGGGACCTGGCGCGAGGAAGAGCGGCGGCGTGGGGAGAGGCGCAGTGCGGTAGGGGAAGAGACGGTAGTAAGGAACCGACTCGTCAAACATGACGTCCTGGGAGGACAGAACACGGCGCGAGGTGGGGTGGTAAACCTGCCAACCAGGCGCGTCAGGGGGGAAGCCAAGGAAGACGCAGTGAACAGCACGGGGGGACATCTTGTCCGCAGACAAGTCACGGAGAAAAGCCCGAGATCCCCAGACACAAAACGCGGACGCATCGCCAACCTTCCCCGTCCACCACAAAGTAGGGAAGGTCTCCGGCAAGGAGACTCGGGGCTGAAGGTCGATCTGATGCGCCGCGTACTGAACCGCAAACGGCCACAGAAAATGGGGAGCAGCCGCATGAATCATGGACGTACGAG